CCAAGAGCCACATTATGAAGGCGTCTCCCAAGAGCCACATTAATCTTTTTTAAAAAGGGAGTGGGGGCACAAAATTCCTGCGAAATAAAAAAAAATGTTCTAAGACAATTTGTTTAATCTTATATATGTCTATATGACGCCCTTTTCTCTCCATTAAGTTGTATTATTTTAGAAAAATAAGTGCACGTCATTGATATATTAGACTATTTATGTTAGTCATAGGCATATTAGGCTATTTATGTTAGTCATAGGTATATTAAACTATTTATGTTCGTCATAGGTATATTAAACTATTTATGTTAGTCATAGGCATATTAGGCTATTTATGTTCGTCATAGGTATATTAAATTAATTATGTTAGTCATAGGTATATTAAACTATTTATGTTAGTCATAGGCATATTAGGCTATTTATGTTCGTCATAGGTATATTAAATTAATTATGTTAGTCATAGGTATATTAAACTATTTATGTTCGTCATAGGTATATTAAATTAATTATGTTAGTCATAGGTATATTAAACTATTTATGTTACCACCACCACCACCACCACCAACACCACCAGCACCACCACCAACACCACCACCAACACCACCAACACCAACATCACCACCAACATCACCACCAACACCACCACCACCACCACCACACCCAACCACCACCACACCTAACCACCAACAACACCACCACCACCACCACCACCACCACCAACACCACCAACACCACCAACACCACCACCACCACTTTTTTATTGACAGAAAAATGTGCATCTCATTTACCTTATTAAAAGTTTTCTAGTTGTCCAGTCGTCTTAGAATTGGGCTATTAAATGGCTCAACAAGACAGCATTCAGCTGTTTATCACCAGAGGCGCCATTTGAGGTTTTTTGAGGGTGGGGGGGTGGGGATGCCAAAACCAAAACTTCGTCGGCTTGTTAAGTTGTTTCTTACAGTACATATCAATTGCATAAAACCTGCAAATTCAGGTGGGGGGGGGGGCAAATGCACCAACCTGCCCTACCCACAGGATGTCCCTGTCTAGCACTTGTGAATGTTTTTGTGGGTAGCTATTGGTTTTTTTTTTTTAAAGTTTGATTGGCCATGAAGGTACGCAGGGTTCGTCGACCACCGCCTTTGTGTTTCTTTGATGACCTCTGGATTTCAAAAGTGAGTGCAAGCACGTGAATCATGTCGAGTGTGGGAGTTCATTAATAATTCTTGCGACTGGATATTATGTTTGATTACTCGCAGCGTGTGTTTGAGAGATTAATGAGTTAGTGAACGCTCTTCCCACGCATGACTTAGTGACGTATTTTTATGCTCATTATGACGTATAGGCTAGTCTGGTTTTTTTTTTTTTTTTTGACGTACGTTTGATTTGTCTGGCAGTCATGAAAGGAACTTTGTGACAGGGGGATGTGACAGGAGGATGTGACAGGAGGATGTGTTTTATATCTGCCTGATAGCGAGCTGCGCTATACACGTGTACATGGAATTAACCGTCTGTGAATGTACATGAGATATTAAAGTTGAATTTATTATGAAAAAAAAGGACTTGAGTTGATTCAGGGCTAGTACGACGCATCACAACGCGTGCGTGAAAAGAACGTGATGCATTAACCCATCTGATAGAAACAGGAGTCGACGAATAATGTGACGTGTAAATCACGTGTATTTTACCCCAAAAAACAATGTGCACCCAAAAGGTCTTTTTCCCTTTTCCGCGGAACGGCTCAATCTTGTTCTTCTGCCACTCGACAATTCCCAGGGAGAGCTTATCTCGACACGTTACAGTAGGGTTTTCCCGTTTCCGACATCAGCATTTCATTTTTTCCTAAAGCAAAAATTTTGTTTGTCTCCCCCCCCCCCCC